GGATTTTCTGTATTTTTCCTTGCTGTTCCCCAATCAAAGATGATGTAAGCTATGCATCTAGAACTTTTATGTTTCCACTACCCACTGCTGTGAGATCAACTTGGTTCAAAAATAAGGGGTCTGAGGCCTGCATCCTCACAAACAGCCACCAGTGGCAGGAAAGTAGGAGACAAAAGGGGAAATGACTCTTGCTTTATAAATTAAAAAAAAATTTTTTTGCCTCTGTTAGCTACATTAGGTGTAGGTTTTTTGTAACAGTTTTAATATGAGAAATAAATCCCGTATCACACAATTTACCCACATACGGTGTACAACTCAATGCTTTTTCAGTAATCCAGAGTTGTGCAACCTTCATCACAATTAATTCTAGAACATTTCCATTATCCACCAAAGAAATGTATTCTCTTTAGCTGTTACCTTTCAATGCCCATCTCTCCAGCTCTGGGCAACCACTGACATCTCTCTATAGATTTGCCTCTTCTGTACACTTCATATAAATGGAATCATGAAATACATGGTGTTTTGTGACATGCTTCTTTTACTTAGCATACTGTGTTCAACATTCATGTTGTAGCATGTAGCAATAATTCATTCTTTTGTATTTCGTTGTATGATATACCATATTTTATCAGTTTATCTGGTGATGAACATTTGGGTTGTTTCCACATTTGGGCTATTGTGAAAAATACTGCTGTGAACGTCTATGTGCAAATTTCTGTGTGGGTGTGTGTTTTTACTTCTCTTGGGTATATAACTAAAAGTACAATTCCTGGGTCATGTGGTGACGCTGTTTCATCTTTTGAGGAGCTGCAAGGCTGTTTTCCAAGGTGGTTGCACCATTTAAGTTAGTTTTTTAAAGTGAAATTGTTCAAGTGTTTGGTAAGTTTTATTGGGACTGTGCCGAAAACAAATTTAACCAAAATATCCACTTTTTTGTAAGTTAGGTATTGTCAAATTAATACAACTGGTAGCCTCCTGGATCTCTCTAAGGTAACTTCTAACTCATTCTCCCCTCATTTCTTCTCCATCCTATTTCCTCTGGTCCATCTGTCACCCATGGCTGATTTGTTACTTCCCTCAGTGCCGATCACTAGCTTGACCGTTTCTGAAAGCCTGGAATAAGGCTTAACTGAGCAGGTAGAGTAGTTCATATAGGAAATTGAAACTACTTTGACATGAGAAGTTTCATATAAGAAATTGAAAAAGCATTAGTAGAAACATGTGAGTTTATTCAACCAGCAGACAATGTTTGACCCTGATTTTTCACTGGTAATCACTTGTAACCTCTTGTAATTTCTGCTGGATTTATGGAAAGTATCATGCTATTAGAAGACTAATCGAGATACCTGTTTTCCATTGAAAATATATTTATCCACGATCACATAAAGGTGGTTCTTTTCTTCATGTTTCAGTTAGGCTTTTCCATAAGCAGAAGTAGGTCTCTTCTAAAAGAACAGAAGTCTGGCATCTTGTATCCTACAAGAGTGACTCATCATTTCTTACCAGAACTGCTGGCCTTGGGCAGCATCTGCTAGGTTTTTTATTTGGGTTGGCCAAGAATCTTGCCAGAGTTTTAATCTCGGCCTCTTGTTCTATGTGACTTCTTGGGAATACTTATGTTCAGTGGGAAGAGTGAATTCTCAAGTGTTGTTTTTTCAGACATGGTATGATCCTTTCACAACAAAGGCTTTACTTTAGAGATGTTTCTTTAAAAGAAGCCTTTATAAATAAGAGTGGGGCTGAGGAGGAAGCCAACTGGACTTGGAAAGTGGTGTTCTGGAGTAAGAAGGGGAAGGAGAGACAGGGGGGTTTTCTACACTACGCCACTGTGTGCCCTTTATTAGAATCTTTACATTTCTCTCATCCCTCCTCCCCCAGGACTTGGCAACGATGTGCCTTATCAGTTGTGAGTATGTAGGCAAAGCAATTTACCAAGTAAATGGATATGAATGAGTGAATGAATAGACAATCTAATTTGCAAAATGCTTCATGTTAGGGAAAAAAATGGGGGCAGGGCAGCTTATAAACCTATTACATTGAGATTTAAGTTTATACTAATTCTAAAATAAGCCATTGAAATTATAATATTCAAGTAGTGAGAAGTTGGTAACACTGCTTAGGGTTCTAACATTTCTCAAACAAAATAGATGTTATGTGTTTCAGAGCACAGGCTTTACACTCAGATAGCTTTGGTTTGAGTCCTGACTTAAGGTCTCCAAGCTCTACAACCTTAGACATGTAATTACATCTCCCTTACCAAGTTCCCGTGTAAAATTGGCAAAATTGAAATTTCAATAAAATTTATTCTCCAAATGGAATCTTTGCAACAATTAAACCTGGCTATGTAGCCAAAGCTCTTTGCCCAGTACTTAGATGACAGTAAATATTCAAAAGATGCTTATTATTATTTTTATATTATTATCGCCATTAAGAAGTTGAAAATACCTTCTCTGGAAGAAATAGCTTTTTCTGAAAGAGTTGTATCAAATACTAACTAATGAACTCTGAAATGGCCTCAAATAATTGAAATAAAAAATCATCAAGGAAAAATTTCAAAGGATTTTAGTCTTCAACAAACCCATCAAAACCAAAACCAGT